AATTTTTAAAAATTTTTTTTTTTGGGGGGTTTGGGGTTTTTAAATTTTTTGGGGGGGGGAATTTTTTTTTTTTTTTTTTTTTTTTTTTGGGGGGGGGGGGGCCGGGGGCCCCCCCCCAATTTTTTTTTTCCCCCCCCCCCCCCTTTTAAAATTTTAAAATTTTTTTTTCCTTTTTCCTTTTTCTTTCCCCCCCTTCCCAAAAAAAAACCCCCCCCCCTTTTTTTTGGGTTTTTCCCCCTTTTTTTGGGCCCCCCTTTTTTTTTTCCCCCCCAAAAATTTTTTCCCCCCTTTCCCTATTTTTGGGTTTTTTTTGGCCCCCCCCCGGGGCCCGGGGCCCCTTTTTTTTTTCCCCTTTTGGGGCCCTTTTCCCTTTTTTTTTCAAATTTCCCCCTTTTTCCGGGGTTTTTTGGGCCCCCCTTTTTAAAAACCCCCCTTTTTTTTTCCCAAATTTTTTTTTCCCCTTTTTTTCCCCCCTTTTTCCCCCTTTTTTTTTTTTTTCCCCCCCCTTTTTTTCCCCCGGGGTTTTTCCTTTTTTAATTTTGGCCCGGTTAATTTTTTTTTTCCCCTTTTCCCCCCCCTTTTTTTTTTTAAAAAACCCCCTTTTTTTTTGGAACCCGGTTTTTTTCCCCCCCCCCCCCCTTTTTCCCCCCCTTTTTTTAAATTTTTTAAAAAAAAATTTTTTTGGGGGGTTTTTTTTCCCCCCCCTTATGGCCCTTTTTTTTTTTTTTTTCCCCCCCTTTTTTAACCCCCCGGGGCCCCCTTTTTTCTTTTCCCCTTTTTTGGTTTTTTGGGGGGGTTTTGGGGGAAAGGGGGGCCCCTTTTGGGGTTTTGGGGGTTTTTTTTAAAAAGGGGGGGGCGGTTTTCCCCCTTTTGGGGGGTTTTTAAAAACCCCCCCCCGGGGGGGTTTTTTAAAAAAAAGGGGGGGGGGGGGGGGGGTCCCTTTTTTGGGGGGGGGTTTTTTTTTTTTTGCCCCCCGGGGCCCCCCCTTTTTCCTTTCTCTGTTGCACTTAGTTTTTGCCTCCCTACACCTTCGGGTAAACCAAGGACTCGTTTTGGTCTTCCTATTATTTCCGTTTCCCTTGGGAACAAAACTTTCCTCTGCCTCCTTGCACTTTGTTGCCACATATTCCATCATCTCGTTTACTTATTTTCCTACCATTTCTCTGTCCCACTGAACCTCCTGCAGGAAGTTTCTCATACCTGTGTAGTCCCCCCTTTTATAGTTTGGCCTGTCCCCTTCAGTTCCTGTTACCTTCTCCACTTGTAACTCTACTATATAGTCAAAACTCAGAACCACATGATCGCTAGCTCCAAGGGGCCCCTCATAAGTGATGTCCTCAATGTCTGAACTGCTCAGGGTGAACACAAGATCCAGTCTTGCTGGCTCATCCTCCCCTCTCTCTCTGGTTGTGTCCCTGACATGTTGATGCATGAGGTTTTCAAGTACCACATCCATCATCTTGGCTCTCCATGTTTCGGGACCCCCATGTGGCTCCAGGTTTTCCCAGTCGATCTCCCTGTGGTTGAAATCGCCCATTACCAGTAACTTTGCTCTGCTCGAGTGAGCTCTTCTTGCCACCTCAGCCAGTGTGTCCACCATCACCCTGTTGTTTTCTTCGTACTCCTCTCTTGGCCTCCTGCAGTTCTGTGGTGGGTTATACATCACTCCAATGACTACTTTATGTTCCGGACTGATTGTACCTACAATGTAGTCTCTTTCTCCAATCATGTCCATGCCTTCCATTTCCTCAAATCCCATCGGTGTTTTATGAGCAGTGCAACCCCTCCTCCCCTCTACTCCTTCTATCTTTCCTCAGGATCTGATATCCTGTTGGGAAGATTGTGTCTGTTATTGTCTCAGCGAGTTTTGTTTCTGTGACTGCTATGATGTCTGGGATTTTTCACTGATTCTTTCATTCCACTCCTCATGTTTATTCATTATTCCATCCGCGTTTGTGTACCAAACCTTTAGTTTCTTTTCTATCATTGTGGTCATGCAAGAATATTGGGGTTGGGGGAGACGAGAGCCTTGGTGGGGGCCTATATGGGGCTGTGGTGTAGGTGGGGTTTGTGTTGATGGGGGTGGGGTCAGAATGCCCATAAGGGACAGCTGTTGGGGTGAGGTTTGTGATATGGGTATTGGTGGCAGAGGGAACAGTGAGTGGGTTGTAGTATAGGTTGCTCAGTTGCGTTGGGAATGTCGCGGGTGGAGTCTTTTGGTGGGAGATTCTGTGGGGTGTGTTTGCCCTTCCTCCTGTGTCTGGGTCCTGCTCATTTTCATTGCTTCTCGTTCCTCCTCTGTGTGTGTGTGTGTGTGTGTGTGTGTGTGTGTGTGTGTGTGTGTGTGTGTGTATGTGTGTGTGTGTGTGTGTGTGTGTGTGTGTGTGTGTGTGTGTGTGTGTGTGTGTGACTCAACAATCAATATTTGCACCAATAACTCATGAAGGGGTTCAGGGAAACCGGCAGGCCGGACTTGAGTCCTGGAGATGGGAAGTACAGTGCCTGCACTCTGAAGGAGGGGTGTTAATGTTGCAGTTTAAAAAACTGTAGTGTAAAGCACCCTTCTGGCAAGACAGTGATGGAGTGAATGATGGTGAAAGTTTTTTTTTTCGGGCCACCCTGCCTTGGTGGGAATCGGCCAGTGTGATGATAATAAATAACTCATTACAGTTGTGACCGGGTGTGGAAGTGTGAATTGCTCATTACTCTATAATTTATTCATGATTGTAGCATGTATAAACGTAAGTAACCATTCTACAGAATTCATTACCTTTGTAACTTGTGAGCTCATTACCTTTGTACCTAGTTCAGCTATCAAATCTTTGGGGGCCCAGTCCCTGGACTCATTACGTACCTCTGTAATCTGTAAATACCTTTGTAACTTGTCATGATTGTGACCAGACCTACCTGGAGTTCATTACCTTTGTAAATTGTGAGTTCATTACCTTCATAAATTGTGAGTTCATTACCTTTGTAAATTGTGAGTTCATTACCTCTGTAACTTGCTCAGCTATCAAAACTTTGGAGTCCAGTCCCTGGACCAATTATGTACCTCTGTAATCTTTTGACTACCGCCCACAGGATGGGTATGGGGTGCATAATAAACATATTAAACTAACAGGTGTTTAGGCCCATTCTATACTGACCAGGCATCTCAGGTCAGTTGAGGGAAATTTGGAGGAAGGAAAGATAAAACGTTGATCTACATTTGGAGCACCAGCAGTAACAAAGTAGATCTACATATGGACAGTTAAGAGTTTAAATATTATGTATTACATTTGGGAGTGGGAGCCAGGTCTACCTACACCTGACTTTCTACAAATAAATATTACTCACTTTTCACCCTTCATTAAGACTACAAATATTTTAAAGTAATGAATATACTGTATATGTATTTTACTTTTTATTGTTTTTAATGCCTAGTTCTACTGTTAGCATAATACAGCTTCTCCTTACTTAGTGACATACTTGTTTACCGATGACTCGGACTTATGATGGGCTCTCTGACCAGTATACATACCTAAATAATGTATATTAGAGCTGATTTCCTCTATTTTGTTTATTACAATATACAGTACACTGCAGTATAAATGTTCAAAAATATACCAGAAATGTTACAATTGGTGCAAAGATGACATTAAAACATTATCAACAATGGTTGACACAAACCCACTACCATTATAGTATGCTCCTCACTTAGTGACAAATTTGTTTACCAATGTTGTCTTAGGAACAGGACTCAGTCATTAAGTGAGGAGAGGCTGTATATGTTATTGTCAACTTATCTGGTATTTGCATGCATTTATAAGTGGAAAAAATGGCATTCTGCTTTCTGGCAATACCCACTTTCTGACGATAGCCTGGAACCTAACCTGCAGTATGAGTGGGGCCCTACAGTAGCCTGGAACCTAACCTGCTGTATGAGTGGGGCCCTACAGTAGCCTGGAACCTAATGTGCTGTATGAATGGGGCCCTACAGTAGCCTGGAACCTAACCTGCTGTATAAATGGGGCTACAGTAGCCTGGAACCTAACCTGCTGTATGAGTGGGGCCCTACAGTAGCCTGGAACCTAACCTGCTGTATGAATGGGGCCCTACAGTAGCCTGGAACCTAACCTGCTGTATGAGTGGGGCCCTACAGTAGCCTGGAACATAACCTGCTGTATGAGTGGGGCCCTACAGTAGCCTGGAACCTAACCTGCTGTATGAATGGGGCCCTACAGTAGCCTGGAACCTAACCTGCTGTATAAATGGGGCCCTACAGTAGCCTGGAACCTAACCTGCTGTATGAGTGGGGCCCTACAGTAGCCTGGAACCTAACCTGCTGTATGAGTGGGGCCCTACAGTAGCCTGGAACCTAACCTGCTGTATGAGTGGGGCCCTACAGTAGCCTGGAACCTAACCTGCTATATGAGTGGGGCCCTACAGTAGCCTGGAACCTAACCTGCTGTATGAGTGGGGCTCTACAGTAGCCTGGAACCTAACCTGCTGTATGAGTGGGGCTCTACAGTAGCCTGGAACCTAACCTGGTGTATGAGTGGTGTCCTACTGTTCAATAGTTGGGTAACACATGAACAACTTATTTATATATCAGTTGTCATACATTAACTTAGCTTTGGGCTTTGTTAGTGATTTTATTATTGAAGTAACCTACATAGAATTAGTTTGGAATAGGTAATCACTAAACTGGACTTGAGAGTTCAGAACTTTTTGGCTTGATTTATTACTATGCTGGAGAAGAAGTCATTCAGTTTATTTACTGTTGCAGAGAGTTGGAGAGGAGGTTCAATTGGTTTAGTTAATACAATGTCTATTTTTGTGACTATGGCAACTGTAAGGAATATTAGAATAACCCATCAGTCAAAACATTATGAAAAGTTGTGTATAAATAAGTAAGGAAGCAGGTTTATTACCATATTATAGTAATAAGAAAGTAGGTAACTTTAAAAATGAAAATCTTGATGATCATGTTATCATGATTAATATTGTATAACATGAAAAAGAAACAAAGACTTTCAACTTACAGTTATTGTCTCTGGAGGGATTTCACCAGTAATTATCTTGACTTTCTCCATGACGGTGGCAGCTGAGTCTCCCTGGAGATCGGGGGCAGCTGTGGCACCTGTCTCTGTGGTGATGGTGTCCAGGACCTTCTTAATGGTCTCCTGTACCTGTCATTACCAACACAAACATTAATGCTGGATGTCAGCAACAACTTGTCTCCACTCTGACACTTGCTCAACTGTTGATTACTAAAGATTTATGTCTTAAAATATAACTCACACCCTCCCTTCAACCCTTCCTAATATATCCCCTGTACCTCCCTTCAACCCTTCCCAGGATATCACCTGTACCTTCTTTCAACCATCCTAGAATATCACCTGTATCTTCCTTCATCCATCCTAGGATATCATCTGTACCTTCTTTCAACCATCCTAGGATATCACCTGTACCTTCCTTCAACCATCCTAGGATATCACCTGTACCTTCCTTCAACCATCCTAGGATATCACCTGTACCTTCCTTCAACCATCCTAGGATATCACCTGTACCTTCCTTCAACCATCCTAGGATATCACCTGTATCTTCCTTCAACCAATCTAGGATATCACCTGTACCTTCCTTCAACCATTCTAGGATATCACCTGTACCTTCATTCAACCATCCTAGGATATCACCTGTACCTTCCTTCAACCATCCTAGGATATCACCTGTACCTTCCTTCAACCATCCTAGGATATCACATGTACCTTCCTTCAACCATCCTAGGATATCACCTGTACCTTCCTTCAACCATCCTAGGATATCACTTGTACCTTCCTTCAACCATCCTAGGATATCACCTGTACCTTCCTTCAACCATCCTAGGATATCACCTGTACCTTCCTTCAACCATCCTAGGATATCACGTGTACCTTCCTTCAACCATCCTAGGATATCACCTGTACCTTCCTTCAACCATCCTAGGATATCCCTTGTACCTTCCTTCAACCATCCTAGGATATCACCTGTACCTTCCTTCAACCATCCTAGGATATCACCTGTACCTTCCTTCAACCATCCTAGGATATCACCTGTACCTTCCTTCAACCATCCTAGGATATCACCTGTACCTTCCTTCAACCATCCTAGGATATCACCTGTACCTTCCTTCAACCATCCTAGGATATCACCTGTACCTTCCTTCAACCATCCTAGGATATCACCTGTACCTTCCTTCAACCATCCTAGGATATCACCTGTATCTTCCTTCAACCATCCTAGGATATCACCTGTACCTTCCTTCAACCATCCTAGGATATCACCTGTACCTTCCTTCAACCATCCTAGGATATCACCTGTACCTTCCTTCAACCATCCTAAGATATCACCTGTACCTTCCTTCAACCATCCTAGGATATCACCTGTACCTTCCTTCAACCATCCTAAGATATCACCTGTACCTTCCTTCAACCATCCTAAGATATCACCTGTACCTTCCTTCAACCATCCTAGGATATCACCTGTATCTTCCTTCAACCATCCTAAGATATCACCTGTACCTTCCTTCAACCATCCTAGGATATCACCTGTACCTTCCTTCAACCATCCTAGGATATCACCTGCATCTTCCTTCAACCATCCTAGGATATCACCTGTACCTTCCTTCAACCATCCTAGGATATCACCTGTACCTTCCTTCAACCATCCTAGGATATCACCTGTACCTTCCTTCAACCATCCTAGGATATCACCTGTACCTTCCTTCAACCATCCTAGGATATCACCTGTACCTTCCTTCAACCATCCTAGGATATCACCTGTACCTTCCTTCAACCATCCTAGGATATCACCTGTACCTTCCTTCAACCATCCTAGGATATCACCTGTACCTTCCACTCTACATTTTACTATCTTGCTCCATATTTTCTGAAATAACTAAACCTCAACATTTTTTTTCTTCACCCAGAACTGTTTTTTACATTACAAAATCTAATTATTATTCCAAAATTAAAATAAAGTTAAAATGTTTGTTTTTTACTAGGCAATGTTCACTAAGAACAGTCAATGGACCTGTACTTGCTGACCATAAATCACTTAAAAAGGAATATAACCTAATTATTTCTGAGTGGTGTCCCTCAAAACAAATAAAAGGAGGGGGAGACCCTCATCCCAAGATCAATATATTTTTGTTTTGTAATGACATAGTAATGGGTGTAAGCAGCTCCTTGTTGCCAGTATTTTAGTCTCCTTCTGTGTGGAAACATTTATAATCTGCTGACCAAAGACAATTTAAAACAAATACAAGTATGCAAAGTGTTTACTGAATATATTAATATATTTCCTAGGTAGTATGTTGGTAGACAGGAACCATCCAGGGAGGTACTACCATCCTGCCAAGTGAGTGTAAAACAGAAGCCTGTAATTGTTTTACATGATGGTAGGATTGCTGGTGACTTTTTACTATATCATAAACATGCAAGATTTCAGGTACATCTTACTACTACTTCTTACACTTAGGTCACACTACACATGCATGTACAAGCATACAAATACACACCCCTCTGGGTTTTCTTCTCTTTTCTTACTAGTATTTGTTCTAAAATACCGGAAGCACGGAGCTAGTAAACCCTTCTCCTGTATACATTACTAAATTTATGAAGAAAGTTTTGTTTTTCTTTTTGGGTCACCCTCCTTCAGTGGGATATGGCCAGTGCATTTAACCCCTAAATGGTCCAAACGTATATATACGTTCTCTCACCCAGTGCCCCGAATATTTTGAAAAATAATTTTTTTTTTTTACTGAAGTAGAGAGAAAATTTTTCTAAGTGTCATAGGATTGAAATAAAAAAATTGGGTCAGTACTTACTGAAAAATGAGGCTGCAAAGTTGGCACTTAATGCTCATCTGACAGCAACATCAAGTCCTGCCACTTGCACAAGTGTTGCCGATATACCTTTTTTTTTTAATAATTTTTATATTTTATATAATTTTTATGCTCTGATGATTACAATTTATAGTAGTTCTTGCCATTTCATAACCAATCTTTGTTCTGGCACTAATATTAGGTACTGAAATTTTACTCAAATTGTCACGAACACATTGACAGGTGGACATTTACACCTGCCTTGGTCATTTACTGTTGTCTAGGAATATATACAAAGCATTTATTTGCCCAAGCAATGTTTTGGATACACTGGAGTATAGAAGAAGAAGAAGAAGAAAGAAGAAAGGAGGAGGAGGAAGAAGGAAGAAGAAGGAAGAAGAGGGAAGAAGAAGTTCCCTTGAAGCATGATGTCAGTGACAAGCATCCGGAGGGCAGTCATAAGATAAGGGAAGACATTTGATGGGCACCTGTGAGGGTGCAGAAATAAGATGAGATAAGGGATGACATTGGATGACCGTTGGCATCTCTGTCTCTGCTTATGTCTCAAAGTCTTGTCTCTCTGTCTGCTTGTCTTTCTTTCTGTCTCTCTGTCTCAGAGAGAGCCATTGTGAACCAACAGGTATTCTTATGCATTATATCTACAAGCACAGTATAGAACTCTGGATTTTTTTAGGTTATCCTAGGTAATTTACACTAAGTATAATTGTATTTATGTGTACCTGTGAGAGAGAGATAAGAAGAGACAGATAGACAGAAACAGATAGACAGACCCTAAACTTGGGGTCAACATCACTTTCCTCTTAAAAGGGGAGTGTTAACATGCATTTCATCAGTGAATCCTTGGTGTCTGCTGCACTGTTTGCTCTAGCTGGCGCTTATTTTAACTGATGCTCACACAAGATACTAAGTGGTCCCAGATTTTTTTAATATGGTGCACACTGAGTGTTAAGACCCATTCTATGCTGACCAGGCATCTCAGGCCAATCTTGCCAAATTATGAGGCAGGAAAAATAAAACGTATATAATATACATTTGAGGCGCTAGCAGTAAGAACGTATATATACGTTTGGACACTTACAGTTAAAGAAGAAAGATTAATATATTTAATAATAGATAACTGAATACTGCTCTTGAAGCTGTATATATTTACAGAACAGAATCAATATATGAAAATGAATTAAGAAATTGTTTAGAAAGTTCAATAATATTTGTGGCATCATACTTTTACTGAGGTGTAGACAGTGTTAACATCTGGGAAGAGTTCCTGACACTTCTGGATCCAATCTTCAACCTCCACATTGTAGTGATCAGCTTCATCAATGGTTGTGAAGACCTCCTGTGCAGTGTTGACTGTGTTGAGGTTCTCCAGCATGGTCTGCAGCTGCTTCTTTCCTGCCTCTCCTTCTGTTGTCATAGTCAGCACACTGGTATCCTCCTGTTCCAGGAGCTTTATTGCTGCCTTGTTCTCCTCCAGCAGATCATAGAGTCTGTCCTGCAGTTGGTGATGCTGGGTTTTCCAGTCCCTCACCTGTCCCTGGTACTTGCTCAGCTGGGACAGTGCTTCTTCACACTCACTTATAAGGTTACTGATACTGCTCTTGTGTTCCTGTACCAAAGACCGTAACTTCTTGCTGATGCCTCTTGTGCGGTCTTGACCACATTTTGTTGACACTGTTCCCACTGATGTAACCTGGATACTTCTGAGTTTCTTTATAACAGCCTCCATAGCATAGACGATCGGGAACTGAGTAGCATCTGTGGCACTGTGCTCAGCAAGACAGCTGGGGCAGGTGAGCTGAGCATTCTTAATTGTATCTTCAATACACTGTGAGCAGAATGTGTGACCACATGGCAGATTGCGTGGTCGTCGAAGTTCTTCATCATAATTGTTAAAGCACACTTTACACTCCTCTGGTTTGTCGTTATCCTGTAGAAAATGAAAATTAAGGTAGATTTTACACTAATAGGACTGAATTTAAACAGGTTAGATTTTATGCCAGTAGAATTGAATTCTATTAAGTTACTCATCAATAAAGTGTTCATATTGAATTTTCTAGACAATCTTGAAAGTTAAAAGAATTGCCAAACTTCTTCATATTACTACTATATACAACATACATACTGGAGGTATATATTGTCAAACTTCTTCATATTAACCACCACATACAACATAATGGAGGTATACATTGCTAAAACTTCATATTAATTACTACATATAACATAAATACAACATAAAACCAGACTTAGTGTGCTGTGTTGGTTACATGACCAGACATACAAAGAAGAAACTAATACAATCATGCTTTGAGATCTCTTTTCTTTTAACTTTAGACCGAGTTTTACAAGGTTAGGTTAAGAGTTCCTAACTTTATTTACAAGTTAAGAGCTGTTACCCATATCAAATCATTTTAAACCCTTTTTATTGTTATGAAAAGATACAGAACAGGATAGAGTTGTAGGTTAACTAGGGGTCAGTGATTTATTGGGCCCAACTGACTACTCTGTTGATGTCATAATGCTGTACAAACTTTTTTCTAGACTCAAGTTAACCTATGAATAAATTATCTCAGATGAAGTTATGTTCTGGAGAAGCTACAGTGTAATTGCTCCTTGCTGACCATCTTGTTATGTAGAAGCTCATTTCCTGCTGTCTGCAGAGTGGAGTCAAGTGTGGTACTTTGAAAATATTAGCCTTGTACGTAACAATAAGGCCACCCACATCTCTCTGTTTTGAAGACTACTGAAATGACGACCTGTCCAGGAGAGGATGAGTTGTTTTGCTCTGTTCTCCATTCTGTCAAGAAGTCTCAGTATGATTGGGGGGCAGGAAATCCAAAGAAAGTGAAGCATACTCAACATGTGAAATTACTTATGCAACCTTTTTTGTTGAGTAGATAAAAGATACATCTAAGTAAGTTCCCAACCACTTTGCAAGATCTACAATGTGGTTTTCATAGTTTGGAGTCAAATTTCACCCCAAAAGGGTATCAAGTTCATCCCCAGGTACCAACACTCTCCCATTCATTCTTACCACGCTTCAGCATTACCCTCATGGTGCTTCTTTTTTTCTTTGTTGGGTTTATCAGGGCCACTGACAGCATACGCTGTATCGAGCCGGGTTTCTCGATGGTACGAGAAAAAATCGTTGCCCAAGGCTGAGCGATGAGAGAAAAAGGAAAAAAGTTTCTTTGTAAACAGTGATAGAAACTTGAAGTTTCCAATTAGATCTGGTGGACACCCTTGCCAAGCCCCAGCAGAGAGGGATGCCAACACTCCCACCTGAGTACAGTAACTGGTTTCCCACCAAAGACCGTTAAAGAATTTCCCGCAGAGCGGGAAAAATGGAGCTGGCTAAAGTAAGCCGATGAACAGATGCCCCTCCTGTAGAGTGCCCGGCGGGCTAAATGGATGAGGACAAGCATCCCAGTGAGAACGATGGAAATTTGTCACTGATACTCAGGTGATAGAGAGACGTCCAGACCCGACAAAGGTTGGCGCAGAAGTCTACCCTCATGGTGCCTAGAGAACATAATAATTTGCGATATCTCAGGAGCAAATGTGACGTGCCATCATTTTTCCTAGGTTGATGGTGTTCCATATCTTTATTTCTAGTACAGTGGACCCTCAACCAGCGATGGCATCGATTAACGATAAATCTGACTAGCGATACATTTTAACGCAAAAGTTTTGCTTCAACTAGCGCTTAAAAGCCCGACCAGCGCTATTCGTTCCATACCATACGCATCCACTTTGGCCTGAGCGCGCCTCACTTGTCCCTTGGTGCCAGTGTTTACAAGCCAGCCAGCCACCGCGGTCGCTTCCAAACATACAACTGGAACATTTCATATTATCACAGCCTTTGTAGTGATTGCACCTGCAAAATAAGTCACCATGGGCCCCAAGAAAGCTTCTAGTGCCAACCCTACAGCAAAAAGGGTGAGAATTACTATGGAGATGAAGAAAGAGATCATTGCTAAGTATGAAAGTGGAGTGCGTGTGTCTGAGCTGGTCAGTTTGTATAATAAACCCCAATCAACCATCGCTACTATTGTGGCCAAGAAAACGGCAATCAAGGAAGCTGTTCTTGCCAAAGGTGCAACTATGTTTTCGAAACTGAGATCGCAAGTGATAGAAGATGTTGAGAGACTGTTATTGGTGTGGATAAACGAGAAACAGATAGCAGGAGACAGCATCTCTCAAGCAATCATATGTGAAAAGGCTAGGAAGTTGCATGACGATTTAATTAAAAAAATGCCAGCAACTAGTGATGTGAGTGAATTTAAGGCCAGCAAAGGTTGGTTTGAGAGATTTAAGAAGCATAGTGGCATTCATAGTGTGATAAGGCATGGTGAGGCTGCCAGTTCAAACCACAAATCAGCTGAAAAATATGTGCAGGACTTCAAGGAGTACATAGACAGTGAAGGACTGAAACCTGAACAAGTGTTTAATTGTGACGAAACAGGCCTGTTTTGGAAGAAATGCCAAGCAGGACGTACATTACTCAGGAGGAAAAGGCACTCCCAGGACATAAGCCTATGAAAGACAGGCTTACGCTGTTGATGTGTGCCAATGCTAGTGGTGATTGCAAAGTGAAGCCTTTATTGGTGTATCACTCTGAAACCCCCAGAGTGTTCAGGAAAAACAATGTCCTCAAGGCTAATTTGTGTGTGCTGTGGAGGGCAAATAGTAAGGCATGGGTCACTAGGGACTTTTTCTATGACTGGTTACACCATGCATTTGCCCCCAGTGTGAAAAATTACCTAACTGAAAAGAAATTAGACCTTAAGTGCCTCCTGGTATTAGACAATGCCCCTGGTATCCTACAGATGTGGCAGAGCGACTTTCTAGGGACATGAGCTTCATTAAGGTGAAGTTTTTGCCTCCTAATTTACCACTCCTCTCCTGCACCCCATGGACCAGCAGGTTATTTCCAACTTCAAGAACTGTACACAAAGCTATGTTTGAAAGGTGCTTTGTAGTGACCTCAGAAACCAACTGACTCTAAGAGATTTTTGGAAAGATCATTTTACCATCCCTAAATTGTGTAAACATTATAGGTAAGACTTGGGAGGAAGTGACTAAGAGGACATTGAACTCTGCTTGGAAAAAACTGTGGCCAGAATGTGTAGACAAAAGGGATTTTGAAAGGTTTTGGGGTTTTAACCCTAGAACCCTTATGCCAGTTGAGGAATCCATTGTGGCTTTGGGGGAAAGTCCTTGGGGTTGGAGGTTAGTTGGGGGATGTGGAAGAGTTGGTGGTGGGGACAGTGAAAAAACTAACCACTGATGAGCTGCTAGATCATCTTGAACAGCAAGAGGGCAGACCTGAGGAAACTGCTTCGGAGGAGGGGAGAGAGAAATTGAAGAAGTTGCCCACTTCTAAGATAAAGGAAATGTGTGCAAAGTGGCTTGAAGTGCAAACCTTTTTTGATGAAAATCACCCTGACACAGCTACTGCAAGCCGTGTTGGCAACCTGTACACTGGCAATGTTGTGAACCACTTTAGGAAAGTCATAAAGGAACGAGAGGTACAGGTATCTATGGACAGATATGTTGTGCGACAGAAGTCCAGTGACTCTGAAGCTGGTCCTAGTGGCATTAAAAGAACAAGGGAAGTAACCCCAGAAAAAGAATTGCTGCCTCAAGTGCTAATAGAAGGGGATTCCCCTTCTAAACACTAATACCTCTCCCCTCCTCCCATCCCATCAATCATCACCAGATCTTCAATAAAGGTAAGTGTCATGTAACTGTGCATGTAACCTTCAGTTTTTGTGTATTAAAATTAATATTTCATGTGGTAAATTTTTTTTTTTTCAATACTTTTGGGTGTCTTGCACAGATTAATTTGATTTCCATTATTTCTTATGGGGAAAATTAACTTGACTAACGATAATTTTGACTAACGATGAGCTCTCAGGAACGGATTAATATCGCTGGTTGAGGGTCCACTGTACACTCACCTCATATACTGAGGTCTGGGGGTCATGTCAGAACAAAAATTGGCTATAAAATCACAAGAACTACTATAAATTGTAATTATCAGAACATGAAATTTACATAAATTAAAAAAAAAACAGAGGAAAAAAGGTATATCGGCAACATTTCTGCAAGTGGCTGTACTCCACAATGCCATCAGGTGAGCATCCACTGCCAACTTTGCTGCCTTATATCTTGTTAAGTCTTTCTTTCAACGCACGAGCCGTATCCCACTGAGGCGGGGTAGCCCAAAAAGAAAAACAAAAGTTTCTCCTTTTAAATTTAGTAATGCACCTACCATCCGACTTATGACCTGCTTGACATACGTCCACTCGACTTACGAACTTACGACCGTGCACCTGGCAGCTGGGCTGAGCTGGCTGATGCACACCACTGTACAGTATTTGACAATACTCGCGGCGGCAGTGCGTCATGCAGGCAGCATCAGTTTGAGTAACCCTGCCCTATCAGCAGCATCATACTGTATTAACTGTACTAACTGCAAAGTAAATTTCACCATGGCCGCTAAGATGAAGTCTGAATCTTGCATTGAAGATTGTGGCAAGAAAGGCTCTTACTCTCAAACTTACTATTTGTTTTCACTGTTGCACATAAACCTGTCTGTATCTGTCTGCCTGTATATCTGTGTGTGTCTGTTTGTCTGTCTAACAGTGTGTCTGTCTTTCTGTCTACCTGTGTGTCTGTCTACCAGTGTGTCTTTCTGTCTGCCTGTGTCTGTCTTTATGTACTCACCTATTTGTACTCACCTATTTATGGTTGCAGGGGTCGAGTCATAGCTCCTGGCCCCGCCTCTTCGCTGATTGCTACTAGGTCCTCTCTCTCCCTGCCCCATGAGCTTGATCATACCTCGCCTTAAAACTATGTATGGTTCTCGCCTCCACTACATCACTTTCTAGGCTATTCCATGGCCTGACTACTCTATGACTGAAG